TTGGGGTGGGATTGGGGCCCTGGCCCCTTCCCTGGCTGTGTGGGGAGTGAACCCTGGTGCCGGCTGGGCTGACACTGCTCTCTCCCCCAGTACATGGGCTGCGTGGAAGTTCTCCAGTCCATGAGGGCTTTGGATTTCAACACCAGAACACAGGTCACCAGGTGAGCTCTGCCTCTCCTCAGGGGCTGCCGCTTCTGGGGGGGTGGGTCCAAGCCCTGCACAAGCCCCTGGTAGCATGTGGGGGCTTTCAGTGGGGGCCAGACTGCCTGCAGCCCCATCAGATATTAATGCTGGTGTGCTTCCCCTGCCTCGAAGAGCCCCAGCCAGCGCTACCCGAGGGGTTCCTCTTTGTCACCCTGTCCTCGGTCCCATGGCTGGGGGGTTACAGGGGAACGGGGAGGACAGGTGCTGGGAGGAGGGGACTGACATCCCGCTGTGCTCCCCGCAGGGAGGCCATTGGGCTGGTGTGCGAGGCCGTGCCCGGTGCCAAGGGAGCCGTGCGGAGGAGGAAGGTGAGGCTGGGCTGGGCAGCTGCCAGGGGGAGCATGCTCGGCCGCCTGGGCACGGGGCCGAGGGGCAGCTCCCAGCGCAACTGGCCGTGCCTGGGCTGCTCTGATCTCCCCCCGCGGCTCGGGCCGGTGGAGCTGGGCTGGAGCGGTGGTGAGGATGAGGTCCCTGTTTCCTCTGTGGAGGACGGCAGGACGTGCCCCGTCCCCGCCGCAGCCGGGCTCCGTCCAGCCCGGGGAGCCCCTTTCCCCACACTGCCGTTTGCCCCCAGCCCTGTGGCCGCTCCCTGAACTCCATCCTGGGCAAGAGCAACCTGAAGTTCGCCGGCATGCCCATCACCTTGACCATCTCCACCAGCAGCCTCAACCTCATGGCTTCTGACTGCAAGCAGGTGAAAGTGGGGAGGTGCTGGGCGCCGGGTGGGTGGCTTTAGGCGAGGAGGACCCCTCGTGTCCCCCAGCCCGTGCCCCGGTGGGGCAGGGGATGTCCCCAGCCTCCCTATGGGATATCTGGGTGGGTTTTGTGACCTGCTGAGTGACCCAGTCCCTGGGGGTGAAGGGGTTGGAGCAATACCCCACATGCTTTGAAGCATCTGTCCTGGAAGCGGCAAGACCCAAGTCCCCAGGCCTGGGGCGAGGTCTTCTGGTTTTGACCCCACTCGCAGTGACTCTGTTGGTGTCCCAGTCCTTTTCCTGATGGCCTGTGGCTTGTAACCAGGGCTTGTAAGCCTCTGTGTCAGGCTAGGAGGGAGCCTGGGAGGGGATCTGGGAGGATCATGGCAGGTGGAAGGTGCTGCCTTTAGCTGGGCACAGAGGAGCTCCTGGCTGTGTCCAACAAACTCTCTGCCTTGCAGATCATTGCCAACCACCACATGCAGTCCATCTCCTTCGCTTCTGGGGGAGATCCGGTGAGTACACAGGGTCCCCGTGTGTCCGTGCCCTGCCCTGGGATGGGGATCAGTGCTTCTCCTGCCCTCTTCCCAGAGTCTCGGGCACTGTGCTCCCTGGCAGCCTCGTCTCATGCTGGTGTCTCACCCACAGGACACAGCCGAGTACGTCGCTTATGTTGCCAAAGACCCCGTCAATCAGAGAGGTGAGGCTGTTGCTGAGGGTCCTCAATGCCAGAACTCCCTTTGGTGGATATTTAAGCACAGCTCAGTTTGGTGGGGCGACACTGGGACCCCCATAAGGAAACTCTGGGGTACACGGAGCAGGCTTGAGGGGTGAAGAATTTAATGTCGGGGTTCCACATTCCCTCCCCAGCCTGTCATATCCTGGAGTGCCCCGAGGGCTTGGCGCAGGACGTGATCAGCACCATCGGGCAGGCCTTCGAGCTGCGGTTCAAGCAGTACCTGAAAAACCCCCCAAAGCTGGTGACACCCCACGACAGGTACGGGCAGGGCTGCGTGGGAAGGTGGGAGGGTGTCTGAGATCATTCGGTTTTGAAGAGAGGATGCGGCCTCAGCTGCTCATCTGTGCCATGCCCTCCCAGGATGGCAGGGTTTGATGGCTCTGCCTGGGATGAGGAAGAGGAGGAACCAGCCCCAGATCACCAGTACTACAATGACTTCCCCGGCAAGGAGCCTCCCATTGGGGGGGTCGTGGACATGCGGCTGCGGGATGGGGCTGCTCAGACCCCCAATCACTTGGGGGCCACACTGGTAAGTTTCTGGGCATGTCCTCGTGGGGAGGCTGTCTTACATGGGAGGTGCAGAGACCCTGACCGGGCTGTGGGCTCTTTGCTTGGGGTTATTCCACCACAAGAGCCACGTCACATCTCTCCCCAGCACCTCTAGCAGGGGGTGGCGAGTGGGAAGGGGTGGGGAGGACAGCGGGGCTCAGCACCCACCTCTCCCTGCAGCCCGTGGGCCAGACGTCCGGCGGGGACTACGACCCCCGGAAGCAGCATGCTCCTGCCCAAGGTAACGGGAGGGATGTGGCCGCTCCCCATCTGCTCTCCCAGAGCCCCAGCGCTCCGACAGCGGGCACTGGTGCTGGGGCTGAGGCAGGCTGGAGCCCTGCTGACCCCTGGTGCTCTTGGTAGCAGGGAGAGAGAAATACCCAGCTCCGGTGGGTGCGTCTGGCCGCACAGATCTGTTCGATGACCCGTCTTACGTCAACGTGCAGAACATGGACAAAACGCGCCAAGCGTCGGCCGCCGGCCCCCCCGCCACAGCCAACGGCAGCGCCCAAAGGGACCTCTTCGACATGAGTGAGTGGGACGGAGGCTGCAGCTGTGCCTGGGCTGGGGGTGGGTAGTTGT